GGTCAAAGCTGCCTTGAACAAAATTGGGGTAGATAGTAAGGTTTACGGGTTGCATTCATTGCGTTCTGGGGGTGCCACTAAGGCTGCCAACGCAGGTGTTTCAGACAGGCTTTTTAAGGCGCATGGGAGATGGCGCAGTGAAACTACAAAAGACGGTTACGTTGAAAGTGACATCAGCCAAAGGCTTTCAGTTACGTTAAGTCTGGGACTTTAAGTGAAATCATACACTTAGCAATATGCAATTTCAAACATTTACGCCATCTTTAGCCTCGGTGATACTCGCCCACAAGGCCATTACTATTTGAAAGTTAATTTGGTAGTTGTGTTCTATGTTTTTGGTAAACGTGGAGTTTAGTTTACTTAAATAGATTTTCTAACGTTTGAGTGTAACGAATCAGTTTGAAAATTACTTTAAGTATTACGGAAGGCGAAATGTTTATTGCGTAGCATTTTTATTAGGGTGATCGTAGGTGGTAAGTGAGTAGGGTATTCACGCTTGGAGTATTTCATTTGGACATGTGAATTATGTATGTAATGTAAGGTCATTCTCGGTTTACACGCAAGCGAGGTATGACAAAGTTACACAGGCAAATGTTTTTAAGATATTTCATATTTGTTAAATTTTTCAAAATACCAATCATTGCATTGTTAAGAACAGGTGTATCGTTTATCGAAGTCCTCGTATGTAACTCTGCTTCATTTCGGATCACGGGGCCGACTTTAAGTCGAGTACCTCCTCCCTCCTTAAAAAGGGGGTTAAGGTTGGGTCACCGGAAGTTGAGAGATTTTCGATTTCACCTCGTTTACTTCATGTAAGAATAACATTTGTTTTATTAATATTAATTGCATGTTACGAGCTTACCGTAAGTTCAGGAATGATGATAGCTTACCAATCATTTTAGAGTAAATGTAAGGCTGCCTCGCCTGTTATTAAGGGTATTTACACAGTAAAAAACATTTAGATATTATGTTAGAACTGATTTGAAAAAGTACACTAACGCTGTCGGTCAGCTTAGTATAACGCTGTCGGTCAGCTTGGCTACTACGCCTTTACTTGTTGCTCAGAGCAAATATCGAGATTCACAAATTTTCATAGAGTTTAACGCTGTCGGTCAGCTAGGCTACTACGCCTTTACGTATTGCTCAGATATGATTATTATGATTTACAGATTTAGAGTTTAACGCTGTCGGCCAGCCTGACTGCCGAGCAAAGCGAATATTACAGAATTTGATATTGACATTGTTCATGTACGATGCTGTCGGTCAGCAAAAAATGTTGCTCAGAGTAACATTCAGATGTTGAGATTTGTGATATGGAACGGGGTGTATAGTTGCTTGATGTAAATGGACTGATGAATAAATGTCATACTCGCCCACAAGGCCATTACTATTTGAAAGTTAATTTGGTAGTTGTGTTCTATGTTTTTGGTAAACGTGGAGTTTAGTTTACTTAATAGTGAATAACCAAGTCCCAGGCGAGTGGTTCGCACCCCACCGTGATATGTTATTTTTGCTTTTTTAATACGACAGAAAGGAGCAAGGTCACTGGCATGTAGCGGTCCTGATATCGATACATTCTACACGCAATAAAACCAGATACCTGCGTGTGATTAAAACTACATGTTAGAGCGTCGATATCCTACAAATCCTATTTTTTCATAAAAATATTTTTTCATGAAATCCAATCGAAGGGTGAAGATAAAAACGATCTTTTAGGTAAAACAGCTTTACATGATCTGGTGATGTGTTTTCATAACTTTTTTCATAAAAGACCATTCTCGGTTTGGAGAACAAAGTTCGTCACTCTAATTGAGCGTTATCCCTGATTCGGACAAATTTGATTTTTTTACATAATATAGATTTGAATGACCTCTTTTGAATAGTCATAGTTTAATTTGTAGATTTTTCATATAAAAATTACTAGTGAAACACCCAACGTCGCTTTTATGATTTGTACCACTTTTTTAACTTGGTGTATTGCATATTTCCGTGGGTTGATTTGAAAAAAAGACAAACAACGTATACATGAATATGTCATAAGCATATAGTGAGATAATTGTTAGATTAGGTTTGCTATAAGTGACTTTAAAACAAAAAAATAAAAAACATTAGTTCACGTGTTAAAGTCCCATTGACCACGACATCAAGGAAAATTGAGCTTTTTGTCATCAGACATCTTTATAGATAGAACTAGCTATGTACTACATTTTTAAATACACTCACATTGTACATGTAGCTGTAATATCTAAGATGTTATTTTTATTGATGAAAAGATTCTTACATACTAAAGTTACATTAAAATATCAATTGCAATAGCCACCTGTTTTTAACATCCCTTTGTCACTCATCCCTTAATTATCTCTGTGTATCTTAAACGTGTGTGTGTTCGATGTTGATAGCACCCGAGTGCAACCCAAGGAGCACATACAATACATTTTGTGTATGCCCAGTCTGGCCGCCTTATATCTGCCTGCACCGAGAAATGGGCGCAGCTTTGACAATTAACGAATGATATAACGATATCACGGATTTCACCGAATGTTATTCATCCCTAAATAGCTTTTTTATTTAGTCTTATGATCCGACTGATGTTTCAATTTTTTGCAGTGACTCTGAAATTGCTGCGCCAGATATGACATCACAGCGACTCATTTTCCTACATTTAAATCACTAAACTAAATCAATTGAAACATAATCATTAAAGAATGAGGACCTTGTATTTTACTTTGGCCGAGGGTAGTGGCCATGTCTTGGCATGGCTAGTTGTGCATTAACGTTTGATACTGTTGTGCGGATAAAAATAATGAATATATGTTAAAGTAGCACTAAACAGATACTTTTAAAGTTAAAAGAATATAGTTACATTTAAAGAATGGGCCCAACGAATAGATATTGAATATAGGACTCGTTTGATGAAACGTTCGTTCTTTTAATTCTAATAAACCTAGAAATCAATCAACGATTAAGTAAATTGACAAGACTTCATGTTCAAGTTGGCTGAATTTCGTGTAACTTAACTCTGTTATGTTTCTAGATTTTACATATGGAGAACAGAATTCGAAATCATAATCACAATCGTATTTTAAGGCAAATAGGCCATGAATATGCTTTTAGTTACACGGTGGATGATCAAATTAACACATTTTGGATGTTGAATTTCATTTCAAGTTCATTCGAATTTACGCATTATCGTGGGAAAGCCTATGGCATTATCCAATAAAATTGATATATATACTGTCTAGGCTGAGACTAACATATATAATGTTATTTAATGTATTTAATATACAGGATATATCTGAGAAAGTTATGCAATATATCTACACGAGAAATAGTAGGGACCGAGGGTTGATATATTACCTTCACCTGTCGAAAATCGAGTATAAACTATGAGGATTAGATACGCATTGAATGTAATGGAACCGTCATGTAATAATTAGAAATGATAATCACAATCAAATCATGAATATTTTATCTAGATTTAAAGTGCTTAAGATTTATTTTTAAAACTCAACCGAACTATTAACATTTAAAAGCACCGAACGAATTTTCTGGGGATTGCTGATGAGCGGGTGGGATGGGATGGGAGGGATAAAATGAAATACTATATAAAATATTGATACCTTTACGCATGTCAATCTCAAATTAGAATGCATATATCATTATCTCTTTTATTCTTCTGTATTGTAATACGATAGTCTGATTATTGTCAATATCCTATACATGAAATAATGTACAACGTGTATTCTACATTGAATAACAAACGAAATAAAACTCATCTTTGTACGAATTTATTTTTCATATGACACAAAGTAACATAACATTGTTATATGTTGCATTTACGACTACTACAGCAAATCAGAAAATTCGTACAATATCAAACGTAAGAGTTGTTCACAAATACATTGGTATTTTGATATGAGTATCATGTAGTATTAAAATATTAAAATCATATGATCAGCAAGTTTATAAGCTTAATATTGTATTGTTTTTTATTTAAGTGTCGCATGCTTAATTTCATACATATACATCTGTACAATCATCCAAAAAGCCTCGAGCCACCAATGGCTAATGAGACACTGCTAATCAAAATAAATCATATAATATTATATAATAAGATGCATAATATGAGTCAGTTGCAGAAATAGGATTATGAATAAAGCAAAGTTCATGACCTCTATTACGAACATTGTTTGATGAACTCGATCACTCAGTCAGTTGTTGAACATATGCAAATGTGGTCAGGTTATAAATACTTATACGCCAGTATATAAATTTATGACAACATTGGATAGGGGGTCAGAAAAAGTCTAAAATCAAATATATATATTTTAGATCTATTTTTCAGAATGAATTAAGACTTATTTAGGTAGGCCAAGATAATACTCTGAGAAAATACGAAAATAAAGCGAATACGAAACTAAAGCCTATACATGACGTCAACGGCGGGAATCATAATTTGGCGCACTTTTCAACATCTACAATAACAAGCAAGACGTAGCAAGCCATACTTCAAGCCATACAATCCATATTTCAAGTTAAGTCAAATCATCATAGAGTAAGTACAATTAAAGCATAATAATGATAATTAAATAATCATAGAATATACTAAAAGTCCATTAGATGTTGAAATAATGCATAGTCAAAACATAGATGTAGATAGATGTAACAGACAACTATGAAAACAATAAGCTAGCATAGTCCTAGTACACATCCTCTGATCCTAATTTAGTAAAACGATCTTGTTCTTTTCAAATTAGATTGTGATAGGAGTTATTAAGGTTCTAATTTCTTATGACAACTTTACAATTAGAGTCTGCTTTCTTGCTGACACTCTTTAAAGTGTTTATAATAAGTGGTATGCACTTAGAGTTTGCTTTTCTTGCTAAGTTCCATTACAACTTTTAGTCCTTTCCCTTTGGCACTTCTGCTTATATATTTAGATTTTCTCTTTGATACATAGATAAATCTATTGAATAAAAAATCTCTTTCAGAGTATGGATAACGAAATGAAGTTAGCTATAGTAGGTAGCAGTTTAGTTGGAAATGTTTTTAATGCTAATCCCAAATGGAAATTTAAATCTAAAACAAAAATAACATGGCACTTTAAGCCCGGAGGTCACATTGATGATTTAGATTATTCAACAGTGAATTTTAAAACCCTTAGACCCAACATTGTGTTCTTGCAAACCGCGGGTAATGATTGTTCTGACGCTGGAAAAAATTACTCCAAATCAATCAATTTTCACATTTCAACTATAACAGAGAACTATTTAAAGGCCATTTCCATCATTCAAAAGAAACTTTCTGAGAAAAATGTAATTTTAGTTGGAAAAATTCTGAATAGATCATATCATTGGAAACATTTAAAGCACAAAAATGATGTTGAACGTACCAATATAATCATTAATGGCGTCAACAAAGAACTTCATCAACAGCAAAATTTTCATGACTTTATTTTCTGGCGATCAAGAGGATTGGAGGATGTAGTTACAAGTGGACTTTTAAAGAGCGATGGTACTCACTTAAATTATCAAGGCCTATCAAAGCATAAGAAGGCAATTAAATACGCATTTATCCATGCATTGGGTATATTAGATAGTTAAGTAAGTATCTAATTGTTTTTAATATTGAATACAAATAGTTCAAAGTATCTTAAAAGCAGTTGAGGAAACATTAAATAATGAATTTCTTTGACTTATTTGTTATTCAAATATATTAGCATAACTTTAGCATAGCTTTAGCATTATTAACAGTATTAATAATATAGCAACAGTATTAACAATACTATTTAACTTTAGTTGATAACTTAAATGTTAAAACTAAAGTAAAGAGTGTCACAGGCATGTAATTAAAGTACGATTTTTAATAATTCAATTAAATATTTTTTCTTTTTAACTAGATAATATAATTACTCATTTCTTTCACTTTTGAAGTACTTTAATTGCAAGAGACAACTATATAGCGTTGGAATAGAATAGTCTATTTTAACAAGGTTTGGCATGGGCCAGTGAAATTGATTTAAAAAGGTCAATTTCACTACCATAGCTCGGGAGCAATCTCATTAGCAATAGTTGTTTCTTTATTAGGCCTGATGGCAGATAAAGATACTACAGGAGAGCATAGTTACTCAAAGCGAGCAACAGATGATCAAAGAAAGACAAAAGAGTCACCCCCCAGAATTGATACCACTCCTAAAACTACAGCAAATATAATACCTCAAGCTACTCCAACCTTTCAAATACAACCACAATGGGGACAGGTTTATCAGCCAATGCAAAATTGGCAAATGCCAAATTGGTATTCTCCTTATCAAAAGTGGACAATGGGCCCACCTCAAATGACTAATTTCACTCCAACCATGTTTCCCAATTTGAGCTTCAATAATCCGATATCATCAACTTCACCTTCAGCGTCTCAAGGAGCTCCACCAATAAATACCACACAAACAGCTACTCAAAGCACAAGTACAGCAAGCACTAATATGACAAATCAACAACATTTGAATCCATCAAATAACTGGCCTAATATATCCAATGCTCCACAAGCAATTCCTAATATAGGACAGATTGGAGGTCAAAATTTTCCACCAAATATCATCCCACCACCACAAAACCCAGGTATGTTCTGCCTAAATGCAGTTCCAAATGCCGACATGATAGGTAGCATTATTAACTCTTCACTTCGAGATAAAATATGGTCCAATGAATTTGTAGAATTGCATAAGCTAATCCAAGATGATCTTGAAAATGAAAATGAAGGTTTTGAGGTAACTATAAAACAAGGAAATCAAATCATCATTCCTACCAAAAAGGGGAAAAAGTTTCTGTCATATCCTGATTGGTCCAAGGCAATGTATACATATATAAGCATATACATCTTGAAATATCCTCAAACTGCTCCAGCATTGATGTCTTATATGGCAAACATTCTAGAAATGAAGAATAGAGGTATGAATTGGGGGCAATATGACAGATCATTCAGACAAGCTAGAGCTAATACCCTTGCACCTTGGGATGTGATTGATGGGGCAAAATGGTTGAAAGCAACACCTTATTACAAAGTTAATGTGGATAAATCAGACCAAGATAATTTAAAACGTTCAGATCGTTCTGATAACACAATAGAACCATTCATACCCAATGGGTTTTGTTGGAAGTTCCATAAGGGGAAAAAATGTGAAAAGGGAGATTCATGTGTGGGCCATCATTATTGTCCAGCTTGTGGGGAAGGTGAGGTCCATAGAGCAATAAATTGCAATGAAGCCAAGGCTAATCCTTTTCGAGGAAAAGGAAAAGGAAAATTCCAATACAGTCGAAAGCGAAAAAACTAACATTTCAAAACTTCCAACTCCTGTCAAATTGCAAACATTATTAGAATGGTTATCAGGTTATGATGAAAAATTAGTGGAAGAAATCAAGTTAGGTTTTTCTGAAGGATTTAAAATTCCCTTTCATGGATCAGAATTGAATAGGAAAGATACTAATCAAAATATCAAGCATTTAGATACAGTGTTAAATAAAGTTCAAAAGGAAATCAATTTAGGAAGAGTAGAGGGACCTTTTAAAAAATGTCCAATTGATGGAATGGTAATATCTCCAATTTTTACAATACCTAAGAAAAACTCATCAGAACAACGAATGATTCATAATCTATCAGCACCAAAAGGTAAATCTGTAAATGAAGGTATAAATCATGAAGATGCAACAGTTCAATATGGTACTGTAGATGAAACGATTAAGAAAATAAAATCATTAGGAAAAAATGCATATCTTGCAAAAACAGACGTTAAGTCAGCTTTTAGAATTTTACCGATGCATCCTTCAAATTACTTCATGTTAGGTTTTAAAGTCGATGAGAATTACTATTATGATAAAACTTTACCTATGGGATTGTCAGTCTCTTGTAAATATTTTGAATTACTAAGCACAGCAATGCAATGGATAGGAGAAAATAAATTGAACATAACACACATGGTTCACATATTAGATGATTTTATAATAATTGAAAACACTGAAGAACAGTGTAAAAAGTCTCTTGAGAAATTCCTCAATATGTGTGAACAAATAGGAGTTCCTATGTCACCAGAGAAAACAGAAGGTCCCCTGCAAGTCATAACCTTTGCAGGTATAGAATTAGATACTGTACATATGGAAGCAAGATTGCCAAAAGAGAAATTAGACAAAGCTAAACACTTAATTGATGAAATGTATAATAAAAAGAAAATGACAAAACGTGAAATATTACAAATCATAGGTGTATTGAATTATTGTGCCATAATCATTCCATATGGTAGAACCTTTTTGAGAAGGCTGATATCTCTCTCCATGAAAACAAAAGAACTACATTGGCATGTATATATCAATGAATCTGCAAAATCTGATTTACAAATATGGAAAACATTTTTGAAAGATTTTAATGGGAAAAGTTTTTTTCTAGATAATGAATGGCAAATAAGAACAAATAAAACATTATATACAGATTCATCAACTACTGTAGGATATGGAATAATATTTGGCAATGAATGGATATGTGGAGTATGGCCAGATTCTTGGACCACATATCATATAACAATACTAGAAATATTTCCAATAGTTTTGGGAATATTACTTTGGAAACATGAGTTGTCAAATAAAGCTATTGTAGTTTATACAGATAATGAAGCTGTCAAACAAATCATAAATAAAGGCACATCTAAAGAACCCACAATTATGAAACTGTTCAGGCCATTAGTATTGTGTTGTTTAAAACATAATATTTTAATAAAAGCAGAACACATACCAGGGTTAAAGAATGTAGGTGCGGATGCTTTATCTCGAGGTAAATTACAGGTTTTCAGAGAAGCACATCCATCATCAGAAGTGAACCAAAAAATAGTTCCAAAACATCTTCTACCGAAGAATTGGAATCTATAAGATATAATCTGATAAACAATGCACAAACAGAAAGTACACATGATGTTTATAAAAGATCGTGGAAAAAGTTAGAACAATTTGGTCAAATTTATAACATAAAAATATTGCCTTTGTCTACGCAAAATCTCAGCTTATTTATTTCATATTTAGTGCAACAAAATTATGCAACATCAACAATTCAAACTATTATATCAGCAATAGCTTATTTTCACAAAATAAATAATTTCTCAGATCCAACCAACTCATATATTATTAAACAAATGCTATTAGGCATGCAAAAGACGAGACCAAGTGTAGACAAAAGACAACCAATTACTCAAAATTTATTACATCAAATGATTATGCATTTACCCATAGCATTACATTCTTCATATGATTGCATACTGATGAAGACCATGTACCTCTTTGCTTTTTATGGATTGCTACGTATAGGGGAAATAACAAATTCTCAACACAATCTACAGCTTAGTGATGTTCAAATAAATGGTAATAGTGAAATAACTATTAGATTTAGATCTTTTAAACACAGCATACAGCCTGAAACAATTCATATTAAAAAAGAAATCAATCCTCTCTTTTGCCCAGTTCAAGCTTACAGGGAATATTTAGAGGTACGTGGTTTTCAAGAGGGCTCATTATTCTTGAGACAAAATGCTCCAATAACTTCACAGTTCTTTAATAATATATTAAAATCAATCTTGAGAAGTTGTGGAGCTGATACAGAAACAATTAAAGCGCATAGCTTCAGGATAGGTGGAGCTACATTTTTTGTAACAATAAAAAATTACAGTGACACAGAAATACAAAGATTGGGTAGATGGAAGTCTAATGCTTTTTTAAAATATATAAGATAACATATAACAATTTAAATAAGTTTGAGATTCAAGTAACTTAGCGGTAGCAAGTTACACAATAATGATGTTCAAGATCAGTCTGATACTTAGCGGTAGCAAGTATTTGATTGTATCCTTTATAACTTTTAATTAAATGTCCAAGAAAATTATATAGTCTTAAGCTTAGCATAATTTATAAGTAACAAGTCACATAATTATAATATGTCAATTGTAAGGTATAAGTTTGATACTTAGCGGTAGCAAGTATTAGACTATATCTTTTATTTATATTCAAATATGCCAATAAAATATTCATATTGTTAATATACTGGTTTTCTTGATTATAATTTTATTATTAGTGGGGCAATTGTAACTTCATAATCATAAAAACAATGAAGGTATATATAGAAGTCACAATTAGTGGCGAATAACCCCACATCAAATGAGAAATTATAAGGTAAGAACATTAATTAGCTTAATTAACTTTATTTGAATTAAGAGTAATTAAAATTGTCTTTAAATAGGCTCCCTATCTCACACACACGCTAGACAATGAAAGGCATAAATACTTATACGCCAGTATATAAATTTATGACAACATTGGATAGGGGGTCAGAAAAAGTCTAAAATCAAATATATATATTTTAGATCTATTTTTCAGAATGAATTAAGACTTATTTAGGTAGGCCAAGATAATACTCTGAGAAAATACGAAAATAAAGCGAATACGAAACTAAAGCCTATACATGACGTCAACGGCGGGAATCATAATTTGGCGCACTTTTCAACATCTACAATAACAAGCAAGACGTAGCAAGCCATACTTCAAGCCATACAATCCAAATTTCAAGTTCCCACCACCATCCCCAAAATCGCCACCTCAAATAGATTAAAGTATAGTAAGTATGTAGAGGCGAATAACCCCACATCAAATGAGAAATTATAAGGTAAGAACATTAATTAGCTTAATTAACTTTATTTGAATTAAGAGTAATTAAAATTGTCTTTAAATAGGCTCCCTATCTCACACACACGCTAGACAATGAAAGGCATAAATATAAGTACAATTTAAGTCCATGATATTTTCACATATTGAACATAACACTCAGTTCACAAAGAGATGTATACAAATCTAATCCACAAGTAGAAATGATTGTTTCATGCTGTTTATGCATTGTGTATAAACTGTAATCCAAAACATGAATAAAGTGGGCAAGAGGTGGTTGTATGATGGCCCATAAAATCACATTATGTAACACCGGCACCCTGGTTCAATATAGTGCAGTGGCCCATGTTTGATATACGTACATCAAAACTCATGTTTTTTCAAGGAAAGAAGCTAGATTAGTGATATATTGAAAAATCAAACTACTATACCCCAATACTGTAGCCCGTATTTCTTTAAAAGGAATACAGGCTACAGTGAAGTTGCAAATGGAGGACCTTTGTTTATTTCCATAGTTCTGGAGGAATACTAGATTTTACATTGTATAGATTCATCGAGCAGTTTGCAACGCACTATCACCAGAAAAGTCCTATGGAAAAGGACAAAGAATACCCGCTCTATTTGCAACTTAACTGTACCCTGTATTCTTTTTAAATGTGTTCACGTGGTAGGGTAGTGTGATACTCCCTCTGCCTATGCCTACATCGTTCAATCTTTTTTTCATAGTATAACGCCTTATTAATACAACAGTTATTGAGCTGTTAAGAAAACATACTAACAAACAAACCACCGAGTTTACAGTAAGACATATACATGTATTGTTCTATTATCAAATCATATATTGTGTCCCAATTCTAAAACGTTAACAGTTTATGGTGTACAATAAAACTATTACTATTAACCACTTTAATATATTTAGACATAAAATATCAAGTTATTCATCAGCCAACAAATCTCAAATCTAGGAGTCAATTGGTAATGTGTACCTATAGATAGTTCTCAAAGTAAATGAGCAAAAGCGTAACATTTGTATGTAGCATGCTTCATAAAACACTAAACTTAGCCCAAAAAGTAAGCGTGCATTTTGTTCCTGGCACTGATTGGTTAATAAGTGAATACAATTCGTTGAATGCACGATGCACTCAAAAGATTAGCAGCTGGGAAAGGCTATTGAACAAAAAGTACGCTTTCGTACTCAAAAAAGGATTACCCTTTTACAACTTTGACAACTTTGAAGCATGAACTTCGGAAGATCTAACGAAATGTACTTACTGTTACCCTGTGGATCCCAGGGTTTTGATATGTTCTACAAAGTCATGCAAAGACAGACCATATATGCACTAAAAATATCTGTGACACTTGTATGATATGTATTCCACTTTGAACCACCATCTATTACAATATTGTGAAAATATATATTTCCCAAATTATGAAATAAAGGAGCTTGTATTCGCGAATGCCGCTAACGCCTGTCGGCTACCGGATAAACCTACTTTACTATTTTATGGGCAATTCATTAAAATATCAATGGAATATTGTCAGGTTCTTTTCATATTTAAATGAGTCGCCCATAGAATGGTAGGTTAATCCGGAAGCTGAAATCTTCCATTCCCAAATCATAGTCTTAGCTTGTATTCGCAAATGCAACTAACGCCTGTCGGCTACCGGATTAACCTATTATTTTACTGGAAACTCATGTCAATACGAATAGTACCTGCCACTATTCCATTCATATTTAAATGACTTGGTCATATTATACTGGGTTAATCAGGTAGCCGGTGTGAAAGAGATTATGGTCCCCTGGGGATTATGGGCCCCTTTCTTAAAGGCCCTTATTGGCCCTGATTGTGGATACAATAATAGGGGAAAGAGTTGTATTTAGGTCACCATTTAAATCAATGGAAAGTAGGACCATAATTTGATAGGACCATCTACCCTTTTACACCGGAAGGCGTTAGTTGCATTCGCGAATATAAGGTTAGCTTGTATTCAATAATGCAAGAAACGCCTGTCGGCTACCGGATTAAACTACCTCTGGAGACATCGGGATTTTAAAGCGGCGTGCAAAGCGTAATCGGGTACACCCCAGTTCTCCGAAACCCAGTTGTCCGAAACCCATTACTCCGAAAAATAAAGTCATAATTTACCAGAGAAAGCGGGGGGCGTAGCTTACTTAAACTTACGTCAGTTTCATGCCATGTATTTGGCCAAATTAATGGCATGGACGCATTCTGTTATTCATAGATCTCTCTCTCACTTTGAATTGCATCCATTGCATGGCGTTACCAGAATGGCAGGAACGGGAGATTTATTTTACATTGTGATTCTAAAAAAAGGTTATTAAAACACAATATATATTACGGAACAGTTTATCTTATCTTCTTCAATCTCTTTTATATAGGCAAAATAAAATGAAACATTTTGAAACAGATAAAATAATTTATCGCATAGAACTTTAAGAATAAAACAGTATACAAATTACGTTGTCAAAATATTTCGTCGCATTTAATTTCTTAGTCTCGGTCTCTTATCAAATCGTA